TGAAAACCACGCTGCCATGCTAGGAGGTGTGATATGAGCACCCACTCCTAGCGGGCCGCCTGGTTGCTCCAATCTATTGGTGTGGAGCAGCACCTGCTGAAAAACAGGTCCAGCGTCCCACTGAACATCTCAAGGCTGAATTTGACTGTCTCCTGCCAGCATTGATTGCCCGTGTTGCCAGGGATTGACTGTGCAGGCACTGCCCAACATAACCAAATAACACGGTGCTATACCTGCCAAACATAACCAGATAACAAGATGCTATAGGCTGGTAGCCACTCCATCTTTGTCTCCTCAGTACACGCATGTGTAACCGTTAATGAACAGAATGTGAGTTCAAATTTCAAATGCTTGCGAACAATGCGAATTCAATATTGTTTGGGGCTACGGCGCTACGCACTGGACGGATGGTTGGTTTGGTTTTCCTCTGCGGTTCTGTGGGTTTTACAGAACTTTTACCCAGTGCTTCGAACCAGGGCTTCCATGGGTTGGCTCAGATAGTACTACTCATGATCTGAACCCCCTCCGCCCTTTCAAAAAAAAAAAAAGCTTGTGCACATAATCCACCAGGAACATAAACCGTTCGCATGACACCAGAATCCGTACCGGCTGTGTGCGCGCATCTGTCTGTATTGCGTATTCGTGAACACAAGTTACACAACTTGCACAAAAGAAGAAAGTGTGGCTGTGACACACTGACAACTGCCTTGTCGCGCTTCCACGGACTCATCAGCAGGACTGAGCCTCGACAGCCTTCCCAGGATGCAATTGACTGATAGATAAGGACTTACCACCACCTCGCCCAAAGTTGGTGATACCCTTGAGAAGAGAGGTGGTCGATTTTACTCAGAACCTGGTTTCCCTGTTTGTATACGTACAAGGCTACAAGCACAGCACATTTCCATACCTGCATGGCCTGGACAACAGGAGATACAAATGCACCCGGTAGTCCCTGCTCTCTGACAAGCCTCCGAGCAAATGGTACAATCTCCGAATCGTGCTCTGCCATAAGGCAGCAAAGAAGCAGCACAACAACAACAGAAGAAGGAGAAGAAGAAGAATTGAGACTTGAGAAATAGCGAGGCAGATTGCTAGCCATCCATACATTGCAATGTTTTCAGCATTACACCACCCACACGGACATCGCAAAGAAAAGAAGCAGCAGACGAAGAAGAAGAAGAAGCAGAAGAAGACGAAGCAGCAGCAGCAGCAGCAGACGAAGACGAAGAAGACGAAGACGGCGAAGACAAAGCCGAAGAAGAAGAAGAAGAAGAAGAAGAAGAAGAAGAAGAAGAAGACGAAGAAGAAGAAGAAGAAGAAGAAGAAGAAGAAGAAGAAGAAGAAACGACGACGAAGAAGAAGACGATGACGAAGAAGACGACGACGACGACGACGACGAAGAAGAAGAAGAAGAAGAAGAAGAAGAAGACGAGGAAGAAGGAGAAGAAGAAGAATCTGTTTGTGAAAAATAAGAATCAATTTCTTGTCACTCATCCTGTAACATGGAAAGAATACAGAAGCAATAGCAAAGCCTTTGACGCCAACTTGATATGAGCTGAATGTCGCATTCTATACAGGTTTATTTTAACATTTTCTGATGATTTTCATTATTTTCTTGATTTTCAGCATCTATCAGGTGTGGCACAAATGGATACAGGATTTGTCCAACGAGAGATCGAGCAACTGTTTACCATTGGAATCCCAAGTAAATCCATCCTTTAACCTCCTCCCCTCAACCTCTACATCCAATCGAATGGGAATCAAATTGTCCTTGGTTGGCCTGCAAACAAAAAACGGCGATTGCAACAAGACTTGAATGTCAGATAAAAAATGGGAACAAATGTGACTTCCCAAGCGCCGCTGCCAACTAAACAGAACCATATTACAATCCGTTGACACCATTGAACTGCAACAAAGGCGAAGATGCATAATTATTTGACAGGCGTAGGAAGAAGGAAAAAGGCGCATCGAGAGGCACACCTCCCCAACAGCCCACAGAGAGAACGGAGTAAGTCCTCGAGATGACCTCTGCAGCTCTCCAGAGAGCCTTTTTTTTTTTTCAGGCACACACACATTTACACGCCAGGCCCATGCACGTTTACTTTCCAAGCGCGCCACTACGGAGCATTGCGTTCACCATCACCCTTGCACCACCCTCGCAGCATCTCCTCAACAAAAGGAGGGGTGGAAAAAAGGAATTCTTTAGCTACGGCAACCCATCTGACCTCCCAATGGATGAGTACCATCGGCACCTCCTGAGGGCTGGCCTCCACCCTCTACTACACCGTGGACTTTTTTTCGCATAAAAGGAAGAAAAAAAAAAAGAAATGGAGAAAATTCCAGAAAAAAGCGATGTACTAATTATAGTCTCCCCCTACAAAGGCACACTCGTTGCCAGATCCGACCTGATTCAGATCTGGATTCCAGACGTGTTCAACTGTCAAACCACCCTGCAGGGTCACATAGTTTAGGGTTTAGGGGTTAGGGTCTAGGGGTTAGGGTATAGGGTATGGGGTCTAGGGTTTGGGGTTTGGGGTTTGGGGTTTGGGGTTTGGGGTTTCGGGCTTAGGGTTTAGGGTTTAGAAGCGATTCCAGGATTGTAATCATGGTGGAAAAGTCATCCAGTTCCAAGAATGGGAAGATCTGACGGACGGTTTATTTGGGAGGGCTTATTCCTGTAAAAACCAGGAAAGACAAAAGGGGAAGGACGCAACTTTTGAAAGCATCCTTATTCACACAATCAGCAACTGGATGTGCTGATGCCCAGGTGCCAGCCTGAGTGGGTTGGTTTCACCCATTGTTGGGTCGGACCCGCACACCAGATGGATCTCGGCATCCGCTGGACATCCGGACATGTGGCTGGTTCCATCTGGACCGTTTGGATTTCCAGACATCACCCTGACAGACCGGACCAGAACTGTCGAGAGTCCGGACGGTCTCTGTCGATCCGCACCTTGACATCGCTGCTCCTGTCCAGAGTCAGGACGGTCTCGA